GTTTATCAGTTGCGGTTATGAGACTCATGTTAGGTGACTTCTTAACGATCAATTCAATTAGACCAGGAGTTAATGTATATTTCTCACCCTTAAGGTTCATTGAATTTCCATGAAAAGTGACCGCAGAATCACTAATCTTCATATTGTTTTTCAAAGAACGAACACCATATTCTGTATCCAAATCAGTCTTCTCACGCTCTGTATCGTATCGATCTAAATATGTTTGAAGAAGCTTTTGTGAAGCTATAGGGGATTCCTCCTTGTTTGACGAAATACGATCAGTTGGAGTCATAGTTTTTATTGGGGATATTTTTTTTACAGGGGTGCTTGTAAATGTGCTATCTAAATCAGATGAGAGTTCTTCTAGAGATTCATATCGAGAAGGACTCTCATAGTCATCATTCATATCTATCTGCATTCGAACAGGAGTACCAGCTATTTTCCTCTTTCTTCGCTTCTTATTTGAAGATTCTTTCATTACTGATTGATCCACCAATTTCTCGAGCGGAGTTATTACTGGTTTGAGTACTTCACTCATAACTTTCTCAGTGGTTTCTCTACCCAATTTTATCATTTTATGCTTGCGGCGAATGGCATCACTCGCTTGAGTGATATTCCGCAAAATATTCGTATCCTTCTTCAAATTTTGGCTCTGCATGTTAACNTTTTCCATAAACATGACGTAAGAGGTACTTCTCATCTGCAGCAGTGACATCTTTGGGTTTCATACGGATTGTGCGATGTTTAGTGTCATTATAAGACTGAACAAGATTTTTGACTATAGGAATCCACTTGTATGTGCCTTGTAAACTGAATTGTTTCCACATTTTTTNTGCATGTTAACACTTGTGTAGTCATACAACAACTATTCTCAATTCCTTTGAATAGTGTATATTTATCTTTTCATGAAGCAATCGAATCCTTTTCGGTACCGACCCTCATTGAGTTCACTATCTTTGTCAATGACAACGAAACTATATTTGCTTTCATTCCAGCATTTCGCACACAAATCTTTGAATTCTGTGAAGGACATGTCAGTATTAACGTGATCCTCATAGATGTGCTTCAAATTCATCTCGTCTTGCCGGAAAAGTATCAGTAAATTTGTGCTGTCACGCACAAGATGTTGTGGTATACGAGCATATGTTTGACATAGATAGAAACTATCAACATCCCTATGTCGCCCCATACAGAAAAATGCTCGCATATTATCTTGTTTTTCACATGCCACATCATCAAAAATCATGATAGAATTTGGTCGAATGTTTTCTGGTCTAATAACTACATCGTGTTCACTATACGCAAAATAGCCTATTCCCTTTATGCCAGAAAGTAAACGTTTGAGAAATTGATATTTTGATTGATTTAAAGATTTTGAATATACATAGATATTCTCAAATTTTAAACCATTAGGATGAACTATGAGAGCCAGTAGAGCGTTCGTCTTTCCACAATTTGAGGGTCCACAGATAACTGCTCGTACACTATTAGGTAATAGAGGCCCATGACGCTTTTTCTCACTCTTCTTTTGCATCAGGTTGTCGAAATTCATTATTTGGAGTTGTGTATTCTTCTTCTTGAATTTCATGATTAATGACTGGNCTATCCACCAACTCATTTGGATCATCCCAATATACATAGTCCATTTTTTTCGGTTANCCATGACGCTTTTTCTCACTCTTCTTTTGCATCAGGTTGTCGAAATTCATTATTTGGAGTTGTGTATTCTTCTTCTTGAATTTCATGATTAATGACTGGTCAGAAATCTATAAATATTGCTCATTTATAGATATCGGTGCCATTCACTCGCTAGTAGTTAGCATTGGATCATCATCACAACCACCCTGTCTTAAAAGCGTACACATGTTCAATCAGCGAATCATTCAGTTCCATATCCCTTCATGTTCTAGCAATGACTGGCACACAAACTTATAAATACCCACTATTTATCTCATCACTCTTCAGTTCTTATTTGAACATGAAAGGATACAAACGCAAGAGAAGGGGTCAAGGTAGAGGTTTAGTGAACAGTCTCATCAATAAACTTCCTGTTGAATTACATATACCAGGCTACCAGTATTGTGGTCCTGGGACAAAATTACAGCAACGATTGAAGCGGGGCGATCCTGGCATAAATCCACTTGACGCAGCCTGTAAAGAGCACGATATAGCCTACTCGAAAAATCGAGATAATCTAACTGCACGACACGAAGCGGATAAAATTCTTACGGAGAGAGCTTGGAAACGAGCTTTATCGAAGGATGCAAGTTTGGCTGAAAAAGCTGATGCTTGGGGTGTAGCTAATGCAATGAAAGCGAAAACCTCTCTCGGAATGGGCATAAAAAAAATCGTGGTCGAGGGGTTGCGAGAAAGAAGACGAGAAAGAGGAAACCTGGTGGCGCTATGAAGAAGAAGGTCTCCTTGAGACAAATTATTCGAGCTGCTAAGACTTCCATGCGTCCAGGAAGCGACGCTATCAAATTGGCTCTCAAAGGGGCACGTGAAGCAGTGAAAGAAGTTGGTGGTAGAAAGCGAGTGCAATCACCTCGTATCTTACCTGTACCAGCCAAAATTGGGGGTGTATTATCCTTCCTCATACCTCTTTTTGCCGGTTTAAGTGCCACTGGCGCATTGGCAGGTGGTGCTGCGGGCATTTCAAAAGCCATTAATGATGCTAATGCAGCTAAAAAAGCACTACAAGAGAGTATAAGACATAATCAAACAATGGAGGCGATTGCATTGGGCAAGGGTTTATATTTGAAACCTTATAAAAAAGGCTTAGGTCTCCATTTAAAAAACGCATAAAGCTACCACACCGAGCCCTCACCGACGCTGATTTGTTGAAATACGCCAAAGTCATGAAAATTCTACACTTTCGTGGGGTGTACATGAGGAACGAAATGCCTAAGACTGGCCCACACAAGTACGAATCAGCGATCGTCAATCTCGATGATAAAGATAGACCTGGGATGCATTGGGTTGCATACAAAAAACGAAAAAATGAAATTCTTTATTTCGATAGCCTTGGTAATCTTCAACCACCTCAAGATTTGATGAATTATTTCGGTGTTGGTAGCATTGTAAAATATAATCATGAACGGTGTCAAGAGTATGATACAGTGGTATGTGGGCACTTATGTCTCAAATTTCTCGATGGAGAATTGATATAAAATCTGAATACATCGTTTTATAGACATCAGTTGAATGTTGACGATGATGAGTGGATCTTTCACCTTAACACTGTCAGGCACCTCCTCAGTGCTGGAGGCTCATTATTTTCCTCCCATTGAATTATCACCTGTGAAGAGTTTTACTCTGGGACTTGCTGAGCTACTAACCTTCAATTCTATCCCCAACATTGACATTGGAAACAATAAATTTTATGTTGGTGATAAGGTCATTGAGATACCAACAGGAAGCTATGAAATTGAAGATATCGAAAATTATTTGGTGGAGAAACTTGCTGAATATGGCATATCAATTAGCCTTAAGCCTAACAATAACACTTTGAAAAGTATCATCAAGTGTAGCCATCCGATAGATTTTGACAAAGAAGATTCTATTGGTCGTTTACTGGGATTTGCTCCAAAAAATCTTATACCTCATGTCACTCATGAATCCGATTTGCCAGTGACAATTCTCAAGGTCAACTCACTGCGAATTGAATGCAACATCACTACTGGAGCATACATCAATAAACAAAGAGTACACACTATACATGAATTTTTTCCCACGGTCCCACCAGGATATAAGATCATTGAAGTACCATCAAACATCATTTATCTTCCAATCGCTGTACAAGCAATAGATCATCTCCAACTGAAAATTGTCGATCAAGAAGGTCAACTGGTGAATTTCAGAGGAGAAGTTATAACAATAAGACTGCACATAAAAACGTAATATGGGTATTGTTTTCAATACCAAGTCGGGAGGCAGTTATAAAAGTGAGCCATCATTCCCAATCCGAAACAGTCAACGAAAACCGCTCAAGGTGTTAACATCACAGAATATCAAATTCCTAAAGAGTTTAGGTCTCAAACTTCGAAAAAGAAGACAGTAAAAAGAAAAATTCGTACATTTTTCTGTTTCTGCATCATCAACTGCCATGGAAGAAATCCTGGAATTCAAAAACCCATCATTTTTGATGAATCTATTGCGCACTATGAAATTCATGCGCATCAGCCATTTGCGTCAGCGACTTTCAACAACAATGATGAAATTCGTATCGCTGTTCAACATCGACTTATGCTTGCTTCCATGTAAGAGTTCAATACATATACATGGACGTTTAACTAAACCCAGTGGAGAAGCTGTTACTCACACGAGATTAGTGAATTGTGCTATTCTTCACTTGTTTGAGGAGATACGTTATGAACTCAATGCTATTGAGATTGATAAAAGTAAGAACGTTGGTATCACAACACTTATGAAATGNGTCAACTCACTGCGAATTGAATGCAACATCACTACTGGAGCATACATCAATAAACAAAGAGTACACACTATACATGAATTTTTTCCCACGGTCCCACCAGGATATAAGATCATTGAAGTACCATCAAACATCATTTATCTTCCAATCGCTGTACAAGCAATAGATCATCTCCAACTGAAAATTGTCGATCAAGAAGGTCAACTGGTGAATTTCAGAGGAGAAGTTATAACAATAAGACTGCACATAAAAACGTAATATGGGTATTGTTTTCAATACCAAGTCGGGAGGCAGTTATAAAAGTGAGCCATCATTCCCAATCCGAAACAGTCAACGAAAACCGCTCAAGGTGTTAACATCACAGAATATCAAATTCCTAAAGAGTTTAGGTCTCAAACTTCGAAAAAGAAGACAGTAAAAAGAAAAATTCGTACATTTTTCTGTTTCTGCATCATCAACTGCCATGGAAGAAATCCTGGAATTCAAAAACCCATCATTTTTGATGAATCTATTGCGCACTATGAAATTCATGCGCATCAGCCATTTGCGTCAGCGACTTTCAACAACAATGATGAAATTCGTATCGCTGTTCAACATCGACTTATGCTTGCTTCCATGTAAGAGTTCAATACATATACATGGACGTTTAACTAAACCCAGTGGAGAAGCTGTTACTCACACGAGATTAGTGAATTGTGCTATTCTTCACTTGTTTGAGGAGATACGTTATGAACTCAATGCTATTGAGATTGATAAAAGTAAGAACGTTGGTATCACAACACTTATGAAATGTTTGATATCACAAACTCCAAGTCAAGCTGCTTTAATGGAAAATGCTGGTTGGACACTCAAAAATTATGAATCTATGATCATTGATGATGATGGTTATTTTGATATTTCCATTCCATTGAGTATGGTATTGGGGTTCGCTGAAGATTATGGACGAATCATCGTCAACGCTAAGCATGAGTTAGTCCTCACAAGAGGAAATACTGATGTGAATGCAATTATCCAGCAACCAGCGGCGGGAGTTGCAGCTGAAACATTCAAACTCTCTCTCGATAGGATAGAGTGGATGATTCCCTATATCAAAGTAGCTGATTCTAGGAAAATCAATTTGTTGAATTACATCTCTAAGGATGCACCTATTCCGATCAGTTTTCGAGCTTGGGAATTATATGAGTACCCACTTTTACCAGGTACCTCTAAACATGTCTGGGTGGTGAAATGTTCAACACAACTGGAGAAACCTCGATATGTCATTGTGGGATTTCAAACTAACCGCAAAAATCAAGCTAATAAAAATGCTAGCCGTTTCGATCATTGCAATATTCGTGATATAAAGCTCTTCCTCAATTCACAAAGTTATCCCTATGGTAATTTGAATCTTGATATCCCTCATAATCAATACGCTTTGCTTTATGATGTATACACTAGTTTCCAGAATTCTTACTATGGTAAACAGGCTGAGCCGCTTTTAAGTCGAGCCGATTTCCTAATATATGCCCCGGTCATTGTTATTGATTGTTCAAAGCAGAATGAATATCTCAAATCTGGACCGGTAGATATTCGTCTTGAGTTCGAATCAGCTAATAATTTTCCGGCACAAACGGCAGCCTATTGTTTAATTTTGCATGATCGTATAATTGAGTAAAATCCAATTAGTGGAGGTGTGAAAAAATTAATTTAGACATACAATAATTATTGGTACCAATTTATTTTATAATATAAAAATTATCAATAAAGGACAAAAAAGTATTTATGTGTATGATTATTTATAGAGAATCTTTTTTTGTTTCTTAAACTTTCTCCATTGACGTAGTTGATGCAGCTGGCGGTGTCGTCTTTGTCCATTTCTTCCTCGCCTATACTCATCACGAGTCCGTTTCTCGGTAGAAGAGAGTTTATCACTATCGTTGATATTGGATGATGTACTAGATTCGTTTTCTTCTTGATTTGAGTAACTGATTTTAATCCTTTCTTCAACTCCCAATTGTCTATGACGTTGAACAAGTTTGAAATTTCCTTGTAAATTGAGAAAATCTTGGAGGAAGTCCCACGCCGTTTGTGGTGGGTAATCACCATAATAATTAATGACGATTTCATCACATTGAGAAACATAAGGTGGAATAGTACATAACAATTTAACTTCGTCTGGGCTCAAATGGTGTTCACTTTCCGAAGCAGATCGATGTTTCTTTATAAGGTCTAAATTTCCTTGCAAGTCGAGAAAAGCTTGCAAACAATCCCAAGCTTTCTGTGGTGGATTCTCACTATAATGTCTGATAACAACTTTATCGTAACTAACCAAAAATGGTGGGAGTGAGCACAGAAATTTCACTTCGTCTGGACTCAATTGATCCATGATGATGACTAACAGCTCTCCGCGAAAAATACTTCATATAAACTGCTGGAGAAAATTGATTCTACACTGGTTTTTATAAGCTAGCCTCGAACATTCTAGAAGTTCAACAATTAACGAAATTTAAATAATTTTTTTATTGTGGTGCGAGGGGAGCGGGAGGCGAGTGGAACTGGGTGAGAAGACATTTTAAAAACGTTTTCAGAATATTCTAGAACCTTATATGATACTCCAATCAAATGTTTGCTGTACCCCCACCCGCACTCTCCTCCTCTACCCCTTTCCACAAAAATATTCTAGAAGTTTATCAAACGTATCATCAACGTTTTTACCCTCAACCCCTACCCTGCAGCCCCTATCCGCTCACCATCGAATTTTCTAGATCTTTTCCACCCCCGCAGAACCTTCTCGAACGCGGCTCTGGACCTGATGACTCATTTCTCAAGGACCCCTACTCCTCAGCCCCTACCCCTCAACCCATTCCACCACCTAGAACCTTCTACCTCACCCCCTACCGCAACCCCTCCCTCCCCCCGCAGAACCTTCTCGAACAAGGCTCTGGACCTGATGACTCATTTCTCAAGGTCAAAGTGGTCCAGAACCGCTATTGCTATACTACTGATATCGGTAGTGATCATCCGCAGCAAGGTCGGTCCACCTAAGAAATGGAGAAAAAAGCAAAACACGACGCTTTGAACAGCTTCTGATCAGCGTTTCACAACCATCGTATTCACCAGACAGGCTTCAACCAACGACCGCCACATAGCCACTATATATCCTCCATACACCCAGAATAATCTAAACCTAACTCAAGTTTAAGAAATCGTCTTATGATAATTTCAAGGAATTGTAGGGGAAAGTGGAGCAAAGTGGAACGCTTACCATAGCCTAAAAATCTCAATATTTCGGTTTATGAATAAAAATATAAAGAATCATAAATGATCCACTTTGTTTCACTCTTCTGTATTAGAATTCTTTTCCATCTCCCTAATCCTATAATATCGGTTTTAAAAATTCATAGTCAGCATCAATTTTCTTAATGGTATCGACTAGGATAAAGGGTGAAGTATTCTCCCTTATCAAACGTGATGTACATTGTTTAAAAGTTTCATCTGAATTTTCCGTGCCAAATTCCGGAAATTTTTATCGTGTTCAAGTTCCACTGAAATTTCAGAAAATCTTCTCATTGAAAAATCTAATATTCCATTGATTTTCTGTTCAAATAATCAGGAAATCAATAAAGTACTTGATTTTTTAGTTTAATTTTTCTGTGAAAATTTAGCAAAATCAGGAAAATTCAGAGAAAAAGTGAAAATTCATGTTACTTTGTTTGTGAATATTCAAATTCTACTAAAAATTCAATTAAGTTGTGACATTTCCATCTCACTCCCACTAAAAATTGATGAATTTCCGTGAACTCTACTTAAACTTGAAATTTCATAACCATTTTTCCCCAAAATTCCATTCAATGTCACTCTCGTGAGATTTAGTATAATATTTTCCATGAATTTCAAAAAATTTCTAACAGTGTAGGATAGGACAGAGTGTAGCAAAACGGATCGTCTTCAGTGTTCAAGATTTTTTATCAAATGTTGCGATTTGGAGGAATCAAATCTCCTTTTGAAACTATACACTGGGAAAAAAAATTACTTTTGTCAAGGAATCATTTTTTGGGAGAAGTATTTATTTTTTTAAGAACTTATTTCTCTAGGCCAGTTATTCCCAGGTGGTCCATGTCCATCTCCAAATATTACAAGTATGTTGAATAATGAGATGATTATGCTACATATGACCTTGAATGAACACGCTCCATTATTTTTCAATTTTTTCAAATTCGAGGTTTTCTAACGTATAATAATTTGAAATAATTTTAAAGGTTCATAATTGTCAATGGAGTTCATTCAAGGTCATATGTAATATAATCATTCCATAATTGAACATAATTGTAATATTTAGAGATGGACTTGGACTCCTTGATAATGACTGGCCTGGAGAAATACGCTCCGCCAAAAATAAATTCTTCTCCCAAGAAAATGATTCCTTGGCAAAAGTAATTTTTTTTCTCAATGTAAAAATACCTGTTCGATTTCATGAAATGAAATCGTATTCAAAAATCAATCTCTACACAGCTTGACACATTTCAGTGTCACTCCATAAAATTCTCCAAACTAAGGTTCGTGAAACTGTGTTTATATTAAGTGCCGCATAGCGGGCGACCACGAATATTCTAAACAAAACATAGGACAAAGGACAAGGAGGAAATGCATTTTAAGAGGTCCAGCGTACTGGTCCTTAGTTTTTCTGAAGTTAGTCTCCGATAGCCGGAGGTACAGTAAAGATCGAGATGCGTCTTCTGCGTGTGACTGAATAAAGAATCGAAGTTAAATTAAATCACAGAGTTATTATTCCACTTTCCCCATAATCTAATAATACCCTTTTGAAAAAAATCGAGACATTCCATTTAGTCCGCACGCTGACAGGAGGAAGTATAAAATTCATGTGAATAGTTGAAACATGTATATTTTATGTTTTTCGATCTGCTAAAACAGAATTTGCAACTTAGCCCGCAGTACAGTTATGCAGTTAATAGTTATTAACAATTTAATTATTTAAAAGCGTTTTACGCTGCCATTTTGATAGATTTAAAAAAAATTTTCAAGCAAACAATATTCCTAGAAATCTAACGAACAGAATAAGTTTTGTTGGAAGTGATTTTGGGCCATATTTCCATCAGCAGCAGTCAATTGAAAATGAACGATGAAGAACTTCGCTTGAATCAGAATCAATTTTGATTTTTGAAAATGGGTCAATTTTCGCGGAAGATATAACAGGTTGCAGCAATTGGGCGGTGATGTCATCTCCCCTACTAGCAATTTCACTCGGCAAACCTTTCGGCCCTGATTCGGTATGCCGAACCTAACGTTCGGTGCTGATGTGGTCAACCGAGTCCGGCTCGGATAAAAAACGTTACGCGTTTTCATGATCCGAATGCCAGCCGAATTATGGAAGCCAATTAAAATTATAATTGATCTAATTTGTACTTGTCTATTGATTATTGATAATTCAATGTTCACTTTCGAAATAATTCCCAAAACTTTCAACTGACACCGGTCCAAATCTATATGCGCAAATATATACGTGGTTGATGACTAGACTATCCATTATAATTTCGAATAATGTAAAAGAAAAAAAAACTATTTGACAATTGATTTAATCATTTATTATTGATTAGTCTTGACCCCTGAACGCATTTATCACTGAAAAACCCATTTTTTTAAACCTAAAATATTCCACACACGACTGGTTTCGAACCCGGGACCTACGGATTACTAAGCCTACGCCTTAGCCGACTAGCTTACCGCGCAATTCGTATATTGCACAATTCGTACTGTCTATAGAAATCCCTTGATATTAATTTTTCAAGTGTTTTCTACTTGATTTATCTTCTCTTCTAATTGAGAAAATCCAACAGACGAAGTTGAAAAATTTGAGCTGGGAAATTTCTGTAGAAAATATTTCAATAGAATACATTGTACAGAAAACCCGAATTCCATTTTTTTTATAGAGTATCTTCCTAAGCTATGGGAGTTTCCGATAGAAATCGGCGGAAAACGCATTGAAAATTGGATAGAAATCCAATTGAATTTTCTCACAAATTCGGTAGGATGTCTTATAGTCTTTTTTCGTATATGTCATGACAAATTCAATCTAAATGATCGCATTTTCGGAAAATTCACATGTTCGACATATTCAACATATCCAGAATATATTGACCTTGCCGAATCAGGCCATGATTAGGCCCCCACCAGATTGCCGAATCCATGTCACAACTATGTTGATGTTAAGTATCTATGAAATATTTATTTATACATGTAGTTATTTGGGCTTTTCATAAATGCTTATTTACGTACTACATACGGAACCTAACCTCCACCGAATTCGGCGCGAGCCTCGTATGTTGTTAGGTATGCCGGATGGGGTATGCCGTGTCTGGTTCTCATAAGACCCTGATGAGGCAGACCTTATCCGGCATGCCTAACAAACACCGAAACTCGCGCCGAATCCGGTGGAGGTTAGATCCGGCATGCCATACGTGAATTCTAGTAGGGTCTGACGTGTGGAGTGGCGCATGCCCCCATACACTGATAGAATAATTCATTTATTCCAAACGAGATTTGTTAACTATTAACGAATGGTGGAGTTGAATATGACCAAATATATATTCGTTAATTATATTCGAGCCTCGTCTTCGAGATTTGAATATTTGTAGTAGCCCGCTTACGGCTGCATGGAACCACAGTTTAGAGCCCAAAGCGAAAAACCGACCGGTCCAAAGCGCCCCACCGCGGGGCTCGTCCATGACTTTCATTGTCTTTCTTGTGCGCAAGTGAAGCATATGCTAGAGTCCCAAAGTTCTCTTTTTTACTATTATATTTATTCTTTTCTACTGCTTTTTTTTCGACGATGGGGCATAAACACAAAAAGAGGAAGCACGAGGATCGTGAGGAGGACAAATCCCTTCGGAAAAAGGTCCATGAGCTCGATGAAAAAATTGAACGCTTATTTGAGGTTGTCACCTCGGCGTCAGGAAGTAAGTTGTGTTTATTTTCGCCCCCACAGGTATTTTCCTTTTTCATTCACGCTGGGATGATCTAGCTCGATCCACAGGACAAAGCCGTTCGATCATTCCAGCAATTCTTCCTTGGTGAGTTTATCCCGTGGGGAATGACTCATTGCCAAATTTGACCTTGGGTATCCACTGTTTTCAGCGGTGAACAAGGAAAACCAACCTGCAAATGCAGGCACTGGTGTCCCCGTCCTGGATAACAGTGACGTACTTCTCGAAGCATCACCAACTAAAACGTCCGACGTACCAGCGCCAGATGCATCAGTGCTAGACACTCAACTTCGGTCATCACCTCCAACTATTCTCTCTCCCATAATTAATATGGAAGAGACAGTGGAGGAAGACGAGCTTGACCCAGAAATTTTAGAAGTTCTGGGCGCAGACCCATCGAAACCAAAATACGCAGCCATCGAACTTCAGGATCAACTGAAAACTCGTTGGGCTTTCTGGTTCTCCTTTCCTCTAGACAAGGACGAAATGTCCGAGATGATGGATCAATACCCACGGGGAACCGATAAGTGTTGTTTTGAGGCACCAAAATTAAATCCAGAGATTCCTGCAATGTCTACCGACGCACTGGTCCAGAGAGACAACAAATTCATTATTTCCCAGAACCTTACAGGATCCGCACTGGTTGCTCTGAGGGCAGCAATCTCTAGCCTTCCGGGAGACGATGAGATTGACAAGCTGAAGCTCTTACGCAAGCTTTGCGACACCGGCAAAATGATGATCCAAGTCCATCGGGGTCTTTCATCAACCAGACGAGCTTTTGTGTCTCCAAGTTTAAACAAACAAGTTCGGGAAGCTCTGGACTTCACAACCCCAGACAAGCTTCCATATGGTTCTAACCTTTCAGAAAAAGTAAAGGAAGTCAAGACATTGGCGAAGCTTGGGCAGGATCTAAAGGTGACAACTGCAAACAAACCTGCAAGATCACACCATTTAAACTCGAAGAGCTCGTTTGTGAAGTTCATAAGAATACAAACGAGCATGAAGCCTCGAGCACAGGACCGAGCAAGCAACAGCAGCAAACAGAGTCACCACCCGAAGCGCAAGAACGTCCTGCAGGCACCTCCACAAGAAGCTCCTCAACGGGAAACCCGGAAATAGGGGTAAGACTGTGTCGGGATTCTAAGGCACTTTCTGCCAGCCTGACATCTCTCTTCCTCTCCAGTCAGAAACCCCAATTCAACCAACAGTCTCTGAACTGACCGACGTCGGTGGCCGGGTGGATTAGACGCAAGTCTAGTGTGCGAAAGGTTGTGAGTTCGATTCCCCGTGGAACCGAATTTTTCAACGGAAGGCTCCGGCGAGCGGGAGGTTGCTAATAGAGGAACCGCCTGTACCGGCATGGGTTTTCTGTGGTTTCCCCATGCTACTTCTATGTTCTATAGAAGTGCGAATGCGGTACAGTGTAGAATCCACAGCCGCATGCATAGGGTTGGATAGAGTACCGAATGGGACCCGAAAAAGGGACTCCGAGGCAGTAAAAAAAAAAAAAAAGAAAAAAAAACAGTCTCTGAACTAGAGGGGCAGCACCTAGGGCACGAGATTGATAGGATGATGCACATGGGTGCGAGAGTCCTGTCTTGCCCTTGAGAGTCAATTCATTTCGACGTTCTTCCTCATTGACAAACCAAATGGCAAAAAACGATTCATTCTTAATTTGAAAAAATTAGATAAATTCATTAACTCTCCACACTTCCAATTGGAGGATATCAGGACAGTGATAAAGCTTATTTCACCGGGGTGCTTTATGGCTAAAATAGACCTCAAGGATGCCTATTTTTTAGTCCCTGTTCACCCAGAACATAGAAAATTCCTTAGATTTTCGTTTGAAAGAAAACTTTTTTAGTTTACCTGCTTGCCATTTGGTTTGTCTACATGTCCGTACGCATTCACAAAATTGATGAAGCCTGTCATGAATTACCTTAGGACAAAAGGCCTAACCTCCTGCATCTATCTGGATGACATTCTCTGTATTGCACCGACTTTCGCAGATTGTCAAAATAATGTTCAAGAAACTCTCCATCTGCTTTTTAACTTGGGGTTCGTGATTAATAATAAGGAAAAAAGTCAGCTTACCCTATCCGCTCGGTGTGAATACCTTGGGCTTATCGTAGACTCTGAAAAATTTTCATTCCAACTGCCGGAGAGAAAAAGAATCGCCATTAAGTCCTCACTTGATCGTTTACAGGCGAGTACTTGTTGCTCAATTACAGAGTTTGCGGGTCTCATAGGTTCTCTAATTTCCTGTTGCCCGGCGATAGCCTATGGCATCCTCTATTCAAAACATCTCGAGAGGGTAAAACATTCAAGGTTGATAGTTAACGATGGCGACTTCGATTGTCTGATGACAATTTCTCAATACGTCCAGGCAGATCTGTCGTGGTGGAGCACGCACTTTCTGAATTCCGATAGCCCAATCAGAATAAAAAGATTCAGTCGCACGATTTTTTCCGACGCATCTCTCACAGGCTGGGGGGCAGCATGTGACGAAAAATCGACGGGAGGTCTTTGGTCAGCGGAGGAACGAGTGAATCATGTCAATCATCTCGAACTGAAGGCTATTTTTCTAGTCCTTCGTTGCTTCGTTGCGGATCTCTCGAATTGTCAAATCCTCCTGAGAGTAGATAACACCACTGCAATTTCGTATATAAATAGAATGAGAGGTACCAGAGTATTACACTTAAACAAGTTGGCTAGAGAGATTTGGCAATGGTGTGAGGCAAGAAATCTCTGGCTCTTCGCGGTCTATATTCCTTCCAAAGAAAATTCGGAAGTAGACCGAGAGTCTAGGAATTTTAACATGGACACCGAGTGGGAGCTGGCTGATTATGCATTCAATCAGATCGTCGATCAATTCGCTGAAATCGATATCTTCGCATCTCGAATAAACGGTAAATGCCGTCTTTATTATTTATGGCATAGGGACCCGTTTGCCCTCAGTATAGACGCGTTTACCATGGACTGGAGCGATCGTTTTTTCTACGCGTTCCCCTCTTTTTCGTTAATTCTTCCCTCCATTCGAAAGATCATCAACGATAAGGCATCTGGTATCATTGTCGTGCCTCAGTGGATTGCTCAACCCTGGTACCCCTTACTCCTCTCGTAACTAGTAAGTGAACCCCTTTATTTTCAAACATCACCAAACCTATTGCTCTCACCTTGCAGAACTCGCAATCACTCACTAGCCAAACAAATTACCCTGGTAGCAGAGAATTTGTCCGGCAGGCATATGTAAGGAGTAGTGATGCCGCGAGACATTTCATGAGACATTACGAGACAAAACTTTGGAGAGATGATCTCGGTTTCAATGAAAATAGAAATCTTCGCTCTCGTCTCGGTCTTAACATACGCAATATCGATTCTTCTCGTGATGACTACGAGTCCATTTATTTCATGTCGGTTTCCACTTTTTCGCGTTTTTTATATGTAAAATGTCGAGACGAGACGAACCGAGACAAAAACCGAGATTTTATATTAAAAAATACGTAAACCATGAGACCGAGATGAGATAAATTGACTCGGAGTCATCACGAGAGGAGTCGATACTGCATATTTCGAGACTGAGATGACAGCAATGATTTCCGTGTTAACTGAGAACGAGATCATCTTTCCAAAGGTTTGTCTCGTAAAGTGTCTCGTGGCATCACTAGTAAGGAGAGGTTTTATACTGTCAGCAGCTGATATTCTGGTCGAGTCGCTCACAGAATCTACACACAAACAATACAACTCCTGTATTCGAAAGTGGTGGCTCTTCTGTCAGGAGGAACAGACCGATGCCTTCATTGTCTCGAGAGAAAATCTACTAGAATTCTTAACAAAGGAATTCCAGAACGGTGCTTCCCATGGGTCCCTTAATTTAGCTCGATCGGCAATAGCCTTGATATCGGAGAGAAACATAGAAAAAGCTCCAGCGGTTCTACGCTTCTTCAAAGGGGTTTTCATGCTACGACCCTCGAAGCCCAAATATACGCATACTTGGGACCCAGAAGTTGTCCTATCATACCGGGAGGATCTCCCACCAAACGAGCAATTGGATCTCCGTCAACTCAGTGAGAAAACCATCTCACTCCTCGCATTGAGTACAGCTCACAGGCTACAGACTTTTTCTTTAATACGCACCGCACAAATCCGTGAGACTTCGACGAAATTGGAAATCAAAATTCCAGACAGAATAAAGACATCTCGTAAGGGAACTCCCCAACCATTTCTGTGGCTACCTTTCCTCAAGGACAGACCTCAAGTTTGTGTGACTAGCGCGGTCTTATCTTATTTATTTAGGACCAAAGATATTAGGGCCAAAGAACCTAGACTCTTCCTAACTTCTAAGAAACCTCATGATGCGGCGTCGTCACAAACTCTGGCCAGATGGATAAAGTACTGTTTATCCAAAGCTAGAATCAATACTGACCAATTCTTAGCATACAGCACGAAATACGCTGCAACCTCGGCAGCAGCACTGAAAGGTGTGGACACAGACATCATCAGATGTACTGCTGGCTGGTCAGAGAAATCAAACGTCTTCGCTCGTTTTTACAACCGACCAATTGTACCAGACCAGTCAGTATTCGCTAAATTCGTGCTGAATGGTTAAAACCCTATATGTTCGTTCATACCCATTACCTTTATAATTTGCTACATTGTATTCTCCCCATTTATTAGTTCAAAGTAAATGCTGGCATTTAATAGAAAAAATTGAAAAATTCTCTGAACATCTACAAATACTCAAATCTCGAAGATGAGGCTCGAGTATAATTGTACGATCAAACGAACTTACCTGTAAGTGAAGTTCGATCGTGATTATACGAAGAGCCTCGTCGAAAGATTCAGTCCCCCCCGACAATTCACCCCATCCCTTTCAATTTTTTCTCCTACACTAGCTATCTCTAAACTAATGAAAGTCATGGCCGAGCCCCGCGATGGGGTGCCTCGGACCGGTCGGTTTTTTGCTTTGGGCTTTTAACTGTGGTTCCATGCAGCCACAAGCGGGCTACTACAACTATTCAAATCTCTTGACGAGGCTCTTCGTAAAATTACGATCGAACTTCACTTATAGGTAAGTTCGTTTGATCGTACAATAGTTGACGAATGGTTCACTTGAAAGGTGAAAGTCGAGTCAAACAAGACTCCTCAAATATATGCATTCTTCAACTATTAACGAATGAACGTTTGATGAGACTAAATAGACCCTAGCTTTCAACCAAATCCATTTGTTAACTATAACTAATTCTGTCCATTAGTGTAGGGCTTTCTGAGCCAAACGAATGAATAGAATATTCTCGAAGAAGAAACGCCTGCAAACAAAAAAGTTGCGTCAAAAGATACTAAATATATTGTTTTTTTATTCTTCTAATAGTCATAATGTTTGGTCAAGATTTGGCATTATCGACATGTCCTATACTATGGGTGCATGCGCCACTCCATGCTTTAGAAGTGACATGACCGCTTAATTGTTGCAAACTGCGATATTTTTCGCAAAATTTGACCGATTTCCAAAAATTAAAATTCATTTTATTCGTTAATTTTCGAAAAACTTTGTTCGTTTCACACATTTCTTGATATCTATTAGAATGGCGACATAAAATACATTTGAATAATTACATTGTTAATAACTATCCACTCCGTAACTGTAGTGTGGGCTAAGTTACAAATTCCTTTCCAGCACATCAAAAAATATAAAATATGTAAGTTTCATTTGTTCACATAAATTTCATACCTTTTGCTGTCAGCGTATCAACTGACTGGGGTTCTCGAGTTGTTCACGATTGAAAGTGGTTCGTATCACCCCACTCTCCCATACATTTTCATATAAAATTCTGACTTCGAGACAATTCCTCTCTCGTATTTGGAAAAGGAAAAGCCTCTGAAATTGAAATTTTCGCCCGTAAAATTCAGTACTTTAAGCGTCACTTAATTTGAAGGGCCGTAGCACTTGAGGTTAAGGCGCGTAGATAAGAAAATCGATATGCAATATGGAAGACATGTGATAGCATCAGGATTTATGCAATCCATGTAGTATCTTGGAAGTGAATCGACAAGTGGATGTAGTCGTTTCAATGGGTATCCCCGATATGTTCACTGAATTCAGCTCGTTTAAAATGTTA